GTGATATGCAACGTTCGCAGATTTATAATCCTTAATCGAAAAATCAACAGAAATTATAATAAATGTTATGAACTAAGAGATATCAGATTAAGGGAATTCATATGAGAGAAAAATAAGTAGAAATTAGAGAGCAAGTTAGGGAGAAATTCAAGAGAAAATGAGAAATGTGTTCAGAAAAAAGCCTATCTCACCCATATATATATATATATATATATATATATATATATATATATATATATATATATATATATATATATATATATATATATATATATATATATATATATATATATATATATATATATATATATATATATATATATATATATATATATATATATATATATATATATATATATATATATATATATATATATATATATATATATATATATATATATATATATATATATATATATATATATATATATATATATATATATATATATATATATATATATATATATATATATATATATATATATATATATATATATATATATATATATATATATATATATATATATATATATATATATATATATATATATATATATATATATATATATATATATATATATATATATATATATATATATATATATATATATATATATATATATATATATATATATATATATATATATATATATATATATATATATATATATATATATATATATATATATATATATATATATATATATATATATATATATATATATATATATATATATATATATATAGGATTACAACTTTGAAGGGTAATAAAACTGGAATTGAACAATCATAAATTCGGAATGAATGCCAACGAATTTCATAATTCAAATTTGAAATACCGTTTCAAAATACTTGTATGGCCGTAGGTGCAGGGCACCTACTTGTTGGTCGGAAATTGGTGAGAGACAGTTATTTGGGGCTGGTATGGTCCAAGAGACTACGAATCAGATTATGATGATTAAGGATCAATTGAAGAAAGCACAGAGCCGCCAAAAGAGTTATTATGATGCAAAGCATCGATCCCTTGAATTTTCTGAAGGGGATCATGTGTTTATCCGTTTGTCTCCGACTACGGGTGTTGGGCGTGCTCTAGGAGTGAGGAAGTTGAGTCCTAAGTTCATTGGACCCTACCAGATTATAAAGAGGGTCGGACCTGTGGCATACCAGCTTGCCTTACCTCCACATCTGTCAAATCTGCATAGTGTTTTCACATTAGTCAGCTCCGCAAATACTTACCTGATGCACCCCACATTGTCCAGCGGGACGATGTTGAGGTGAAGAAAGATTTGAAGTTTGTTTAGGGACCATTGAAGGTTCTAGCTCGTGATGAGAAAGTGTTGAGGAACAGAACGATTCCCATGATCAAGGTACAATGGGAAGGTTTGACTCCTGAGGACTCTACTTGGGAGCGGGAGAATGAAATTCTCCAGTAGTATCCTGAGTTTGACGTCAGGTATGTGTTATATTTTATGTTTGATTTTGTGGGCAAAATTCTTAAAAGGTGGGGTGAATATAATGACCCTAACTGGTAAATCTTAAATAGAGGTTTAATTTAAGGATTTAAATGCCATAATTAGATTCAGAGCGTGATTTCGAGTGTTTTGACTGAAATCATGACTAGGTCATGAACAATGTGTTCTGCCGGATAATCTGCATTCTTGTGAATTAAACGGTAGAGCTTAAATGAGCAAAATGATTTTAGAGACATAATTTGACAATTATGACGCCAAATATGAGTTCAGAACGAAAAATTGTATAGTCTGGCACTTTCCGTGAAAATCTCGTGAATAGTATTTTTTACCGGGTATTTTGTACTGCTGTCAAAGCAACCGATAGAGTCAAGAAACAAATAATTGATGAAAGAAGAATAAGAAAGTCCAATATATGCCAAGCAAGTCAAAATAGGCCCAAAAATGATAAGTTTATAAGTTTTAAGTTTCGTAAGCAAACGAAGTACAATTAGTGATTCACAGTGCATTTCGTCAAAAACGATTCAGAAACCATACTGTGAATTATGAATATTGTTCCTAAGGAAATAAAAATTAATGTAAATGAGTTTAGAAAAATAAAAATATGTACGTAGCTTTAAGTTAGTTCCGGGTCAGTTTAAGTGACAATACACGAAAGAAAAAAATCCAGTAAAAGGCCACATGTGCCTATAAGTCCAAGTCACTTAAGTGGATCACTATTCACAGAAGAAATCCTCTCTTCTCTCTCCTCTTGGCCGAGCTTCATCCATGGAAGGGGCTAGGGTTTAGTTTTTTGTTTTTCTTTGATTTCTCCTTCAATCTTCAACCAAATCACAAAGTCTATTACACGAAATTCATAGGAAATCACGGAAGGAATCCATTCCACTACTTGGTTTGGGCTATAATTGCTTGTGTGAGGAGTTATTCCCTTTCCCCTTTTCGCTTTACTATTCATCAAGTGTGGAAAATGGAGCTTTTGATGGAGCTTTGCTTGGAGGTTGTCCTCTAGGCTTTGTATAAGGGATTAGAGGTAATAAATCTCTATTTCTATGGTTTGTTTTTCATGATTTAAGTTTTGAAAATTTAGAATATGTTTTGGGTGGGAAAACCTTGAGTTTAAAATTTGAATTGATGATGGATTATGGATGTTTAGGAAGTTATAGTATGAATTAAGCATTGTCATGTGTTTAAAAATTGAAAAATCTCATTGCTCCTCCCTCCCCTATGTTTCGGCCTCGATAGAGTAATTAGAATAGGATGTGCAAAATTTTATTTATGTATTGGGAATGTTTAATATGTTGGAGTAAGTGGAAATTTGGTGAATTAGTGAGAATGCCAAAGTGGAAATAATCCTCTGTATTATGTCTCTATGTTTCGGCCATAATGTACCATAGAGAAGTTGATATTCAAAATTTAATTGAACATAGTGAATATATATACATGTATGTGTAAGTTGCAAATTTAGTGAAAGAAATAAATTGTAAAAAGAAGGGAATCCTTTGAGGTCCCTTATAGATTTTGACCTATAAGGTGATTTAGGGATAGATTTAGTTACATTTTATTTTAATAAAATATAAAGTTTTCCAATGTATGAAATTGATGAGTTGGAGGAGGGAAATGACTTGAAAATTGTTGAGAGAAACCTTGGTTCCCTTTATGAGTACCCACGGCCTTATGAAGAAAAATGGCATGAATTATGTTGAAAATTCTCAAGTGGATACTTAGTATATTAAGGAACGTTAATGATTATGAAATGGTAAATGAAAGGAAATTTGTAAAGGCATGGTCTTGACTTGTAAATTGGCATAGGATTGGCATAATGTGAGGGAACGAAAGTGAACAATAAGATGTATGCCTTGTGTAAATTTCATGGCATTGTAATATTTTATTGATTTTTGTCTTGATTCCTCCTCTATGTGTTCCTAGGGACTGATAGGGTTGAAATTCCATTGGAGCTAAATAAGTAACTTGTGCGACAAGTAAGCGAATTAGAAAAGCTTCAAGAGGTAAGCTCTATGTTTAATGAGTCTTTTTCTGCTTGAGTGCTCCACCATGGTTAGTGAACTATGGTTGGATTGTATGACTGTTTTGATGCTTTGTATAGATGCATTCATATAGAGCTATTTGATAACATGATATGATTTGCTCTGATTTGGTTTCTGTATTGATCTTTGGCCAATAATTATATAGTACACTGATGTCTGCTCGGGGTCCTCCCTCGGGACTGACGGTGTACGCCTCTGATATGTTCTGGTTCGGCTTGGGGTCCTCCTTTGGAAACACGTGCGTTGGTTTTCGCTTGGGGTCCTCCCTTGAGAATGACTGCGTACACCTCTGATAAGATATGTATATGTGCTTTGTTCTGTTATGATATTTGTTATATGTTGCATTGGTATACTCTGTATCTGACTTTCATGCAGGAGTGAGCCAGGGGTATGGAGAATTCTCTATAAACCTGGAGCTTATTGAGATTTATTATCTCACCCCTCTTTGGGGACATCATTTCAGGTTCTCAGATCCCCGGTGAGCCCTCACTAGGCAGGGACGCGACCCGTGGTTGAGGCGTTTAGACGGACCAGATTTTGAGTAGCTGTAGGCTACTGCTATTTTGGAGTATAGTGATGTTATTTAGCATTTCAGTATTTTGTGGATCATGATATTTGATCCTTTATTTTGTATATGGCTTGTATATGTTTTGTACATGTCTGTCAGTTTGATGCATATACATTTGGGTATTCAGGTATGTTGATATGACGATGTAGTATTCAGTTATGTTTACTTGATGGATTGCATGCTGTTAGATATAGTGGCACGGAGCCAAGTTATGTATGCGCCCTTGGATGGGTATATGATTTTATATGGATGTCTGGTACTTCTGAAAGTATATGCTGTATAAACTGTCTATCAGGAACTCGTGAGAGTGAGATTGAGCTGTTTTTCGTCTGGTACTTCTGCATGAACGTTAATGATTATACAGAGGTTACTCTGCCCGATTTTCGTCTCCGTCAAATAAGAATTAAACTAGAAAAAGAAAAAGTTAGTTTGTATTTTCGTAAGTTAAGTCTTCCGCTGTTTCTGTTTGTATCATATGCATGTTAATTGAACCGGCTCGAGACGAGGATGTTACAGCTGATGATTATAAGTGTAAAATATATATGGCTTTCAAGAAACCCTAGCGCTAAGCTGGATGAGTTCTAGGTTTCTTGGACTCTTCTTACACACAGACTCGATTAGGCTTTAGTGAAAGAGCAAAACTCAACAAATATTTCCTCCCTGACACTTATTTGAGAATTTCAGTGCCCAAAAAAGTTATTATTATCATTTTGCATTTTATAGTACCTAAATTTAATATTGTACACGAGTTAAATAAACTTTTTTTTAAATCTCACTATAGTTTATAAAAAGTTAACCTGATATAAATTTTATTAATTGAAGATTTATTCATATATAATGATCAAATTTAGGAACTAAACTATAAGTGAAGAACAATTTAAATGTTTACCATAGTATAACGTAAATATTAAGTTGGGAATCTACTTATTCAATATTGATGGGAAAGTTAAGCATAGCTTAAACATCATTATGATTATGTAACAATACTATAATGTAAGCAAATTATAGAGCCTAGTGAAATAAATGGCCAACAGAAACAAGTGATGTATCCTTCTCGAGTTCAATAGCTCCAACTATAGAGGTGCTTCCCCCTCTCAAAAATCGGCTGTACCATTTTGCAGAGAGCTTTGGATATCTCCTCAATTCTGGATCATTCCGATCAACATAGTATATGCCGAAGCTCGTTCCGTATCCGTCCAGCAACTCGAATAAATCCAGGAAAGACCATTCAAAATAGCCCCTTATATTTGATCCATTTCTGAGAAAATCCAGGATGACATAGAAAATTAGAGGACACGTTAAAATCTCAAGTGTTTATTTCAGGTACTATTTCAGTTGTTGTGTTAGCCTGCATGTTCCCATGTTTTGGACACTGTTGCATTCACCTGATAAGTAACTTGCTCCCAAGATGAATTAATAGCCAATAATATAGTTATATAGTTCAATAGATTCATAAAATGGAGCAGCAAATGCATACCTCAAGGCATCAAGCACGCCACCAATGTATCCATGCAAGTATTTCACCCTTGACACGTCTTGCAGCGACGAATTGCTTGCTGTCCTTTGACCTAACAAGACAAGTCACATTTTCATCAATCAATAATTCAGCCCCTTTGAACTCACCTTGTACGACATTAGTATAACATTGACAACATGTATTATAAATGTGGTTCACAAATCTTGAATAAATCCCTCGAGGTTTAAGTTTACAATTCCATGCTATTATTGGGAAGACTTGATAATCGCAATGTGCAATAACAACCTACTGATATTGTTGGCTACATGTATTAACAAATTGGGAAGGGGCTAATAAGCAAGAATCGCCATGATTGAAACGCCAAACGTCTAACGCTATTTAGTTGCTTTGTCTGTCACAACAAAAAAGCTTTGGCCCACAGTTTATTATTCAACCTCAATCAACATCTAGAGATGATTTTCCTAAAAGAGATTCAATGGAACTGTAAGTAATCTTCATGAACGAAAGATAGATAGAGAGACCATTTTCATAAATGAATATAGGAGGATTGCCATAATGGAGCTTGAATCTATCCAACTCTTCCACTAAGCTCCATGGTGTGACAGGGTACTGAGTCAAGTAAAGCCAAAATAGTTAAACAGTGAAGTAATCTAAAATATTGAACCAATCAACTAAGAGAATAACTATTATTTGTTTTTTTGTAACCGTTACCTCTTCATCTGAAATTAGATCCTGTCCAACTGCAAAAGCAGGTGAATGATTAAACTTGCTCCACCAATTATTCAAAAATGAGTGATTGACATGATTGTGTGCGTTAATGAAAATTATTGGAGAATCATATGCTAAATGAAGTTAAAATTCAACTAGTTGAAAATTTCAGAATGATAACAATCAATATGCAGTGAATGCAATTAATACAGAATTCTCATGTGATCAACTTCAATCTTTTAAATGAACTATGCTCAAACATAACAAAATTCGTACAGAGTATCCGTGCTGCCATGTCTGCCGAGTAATCTCTCAATTTTGTCTTCAGGGCGTCAGTATTGTCTGTGACATTAACATTGTTGTAGTGAATGACACCTATGAAGTCATATGAACCCTTAACTTGTTTGGATTCACGATTTGTGAATGCTGGAATCCTTGCACCTGCATTAGCCTTCATGGAATTGGGATAGTCTCCGTGGAATAAGGGCTCCATAATCCTGCAATAAAGCACGCACACATAAAACTGCCATATCCATCTCATGATAAGAAAAATATTAGAAGCCAGAAGTTTTAGGCCTATAAGGAAGTAAGTAAGGGAGAGTATTTTAAAAGTTTAACAACATAAATGAAAACTTGGTCGTATTCATTGACCTGTCATAAGTACAGAGCAAAAACAAAGAACATAAGGGGAAGAGAGATGTAAAACAACCAATCATAGGGTCAGTAACTCACCAACCAACTACAAAATCGCGGACTCTTTGAGTTGCTTCCCTGTCTTTCTCTGTATTTGTCAGAGGAAGAAACCCGAATGTATAGACAGAGATACCAACAAATCCATGTTGTTCGGCCTGCAATGTAACTTTGTCTCATGGAATCATGAACATTTTTTGCCAACAAAGTTTTTCTTATGTGCCAGAATATTAAATCCAATGTAAAATGAGTAGGAACTCAATATGGATTTTTGTTTTTGCGTAAGTAATAAATTTGAAGCTTTTGCCATCTACACCACTAGAAAGTAATAATAATAGGGAAAGGATATTGTAACAACCAATTAGTGTTATTACCGATCAATTTCACCGTTAGATCGATTATGTTGATCCAACGGTTATATTTATTTCTATTTTTGTATGATCATGATTAAATATAAGGAATCATGACCATACAAAAGTGAAAATACTTATTTTTGTATGATTCCTCATTTAATACTTTATACTTATTTTCACTTTTGTATGGTCATGATTCCTTATATTTAATCATGATCATACAAATGTGGAAATAAATATAATCGTTGGATCAACATAATCGATCTAACGGTGAAATTGATTGGTAGTAAGATTGGTAGTAACACTAATTGGTTGTTACAATATCCTACCCCATAATAATAATCCATGAAGTAAAATACACAGTACGAAATATGATTAAGTTATATACCCTATATTTTCTTCTGTACAATGTCACAGCTGAAGAATGCGATAACAAAATATGATGAACAGCCAAGTAGGGTTCAGATGTTGAGTTGCCCCTAGTGCTCTTTGTAGTGCAAAATGGGGGAGAACATCGATGAGGTGGGGTAAATCCCTGATCATAACCACCTGGGGCGAAGGCATTGGGCTCGTTCACAGAAGTCCAATACTTGACTCTGTCACCAAACTCTCTAAAACACACATCCGCATAGTTTGTGAAGTCTCTTCTGCATTGACATCAAATAATTATTTTTAATCATATTTCCCAATTGTGTCTAAGACTGTAATATAAGGACATTGTATCATGATCATACAAACAAACGAGAGGAGAATAATAAAAGGAGAACTAGAGAGTAATATTATTAATTAGAGAGTAATACAAACAAACTCTCTAATGACTAGAGTCTTATTTCAAGCAGCAATTGCCTTGGTGCCTTTTTAATATGGATCTAGTACCTAGAATTAAGGACGTAGTTCCTTATTTTATGCAATGCAATTCATTCACTAGGTGTTTCATGAATTAATTTGAACAACATTTTGGTGCAACTGCGAGAGCATGGGAACATACATGATATCACGACTAACCCATCCTCCATATTCATCCTCAAGTGCCTGTGGAAGATCAAAGTTGTGTAGTGTGACATGTGGTTGGATTCCTGCTCAAGGTACAGTATAGCATACATTAGTTGAAGAAACAGAATTGATTTCAAGGGGCTTTTTTTTTTTTTGGAGAGAATTTCAAGGCAAGCATTATCTTGCAAATTAAGAAACTCGCAATGAACCTTTGCTAATGAGTTCATTGATGAGATTGTTGTAGTACTCCAATCCCTTGGGGTTGACGGGTCCTCTACCATCTATGATGGAAGAAAAGCATTTTCAAAGGTATTCAGAAAGGCTTTATTGGAGAAAGAAACAAAGAACATTGAAATTCAATGTTTATCGGTATTTACAGAGGTTTAAGTAGAGTAAAATACTTGGTATAAGTCTCGACCAAGAAATGGAAAATCTATAGGCATCAAGACCTGTTTCCACCATGAGTCGAACATCTTCCTGCATTACAGATTTTTCAGCAGAAACAGTGAATCACTACTGCTTGCATTGTCTTAACTAGCTTTACCTCAAATTACCGGGCAAATCACAAAGAATGAAGTAAAAAGATTGAAGCTTAGTGCATTCTTTACCTTATATTTGTTGTACCCATCACAGGCTACATCTCCATTATCTCCATGCGCATACCCTGTTTAAAAAAAGAAATGATAGCATGAGTCTGTCTTTTGTTTAATGCATAACATTTAAAAAAGTAATAGCCATGGATGAAAGAGCAAAAACGGCTAGTCAAACTGTACATACTATTTTAATATTACCAATTATCTCAAATCTTATATTATTAGATAAAAACTTTATATGATTTTATATATAACAAATGTAGTTTTATTCGAAGAGATACTCGACACACACACATATATATAGTGAGAGATAAAGCTACAAGAAACTCAAATTGTTGTACCTAGTTGAAAACTATCCAACTGAAAGATAACTACTAACTAATATGTGTTACAGTTAAACCAACTATTTTTTTCATGCGTATGAATAACAGAAGGTACCACGTGTAGAGTGTGTCCATCTAATCAAGAAGGTGCTTCTATTAGACTTTCATCATCATGTATGAAAACTTCATTTATCGTTAGTGTCCATGTGTGCCAGTGGTGTTTCTGTTAAGATAATAATACATAGAATAAGTTAAAGACTAACTTCTTTCTAAACTAAGCAAGCTTCCAAAATGATCAAGATAGATAATTAATAAGATAAATGACAAGAAGAAAAAAAGAGAAAAAGAAGGAACCAGCATGGGCAAAGGTATCCCAGATGCTAGGAGTTCTTCCATCTATGTCAGTAGCTCCTTCCACCTGCTCATAATCACAACATGTATGATAATAATATAGCATTATAGCTAATTAATTATACGTTCAATTTTGCGCCACGCTTGCTAATTTGCAAAACTAAAATGCTTTGAAATAAAAGAGAAAGAGTCAGAATGAAGAAAGACCGCTACCTGATAAGCAGAGGTGCCTGAACCAAAAACAAAATCAAGTGGGAAGTCATCTCTGCTATACTTATCAGCACCCAGAACTCCGAGAGCGAAGTTCACAAGTAAGAGAGTGAGAATGAAAGCGAGGCTCAAAGATGTTTCTGGTTCCATCATCAATGTTTATGTTTTACAAGTCAACCATCATTGCATTCGTTATAGGTCTTATAGGATACAGTGAAGCTCACGTGGAGGGTGATTTGTTTTTGCCTTGCGTGAAGAACGTGGGATTACAAAAATATTATTTTTTTAATAATACATCATATAAATGAGATTATCCTTTCTGTCGCCGCCGTAGACAGTGTTATCTGCAGCTGACACAGAAAAGTGGGCCCCACAGCTTTAAAAAAAATAAAAAATACAGGATCCGGAAGCGGATCCTGGCTTGCTGTAGGAACAACGGTTGCAGAAATCATTTTGCCCATATAAATATATATTACTAAAACATATTCAAAATATTATTTTTTATATATTTAAAAAATTTATTTTAATCTTTCAAGTTCTAATAATAATAATAGGGGAATGATCCGTTTACAAATATTTTGACAAATTTTTACAAATTACACTATTCTCCCGGGAGAACTTAGTGAAACCCAGTGTTCTCCCGAGAGAAGATAGTGTAGTTTGTAAACAAAAAAAATTGTAAATATAACCTGCCCCATAATAATATTTGAATAAATTTTGTGGAATATGCGATTTCAACCCTAAGATAATGCCTTTTATACAGTTTACCCTTCCCCATAAATTTAGGGGTGTAAATGGGTAGGTTAGGTCAAGCTTTGACTTTAAGGGGGTATTTTGTAACATCCCGAGCGCTGACAATGGAGGGGAGTGATCGCCGGTGCAAAGAGGCACGAACAAGGAGCGACTCCTGATAGGCTTGAGAAGAGATGAGAAGAGGTTGAGAAATAAATCCATTCCTATGGTGAAAGTCCAGTGGGAAGGAAGGACGTCTGAGGAGTTCACTTGGGAGCAGGAGGACAAGCTTCTCTGGCAATATCCTGAGTTTAAGGACAGGTATGTTCTTGATTTTGCGGACAAAATCGCTAAAAGGTGGGGTAACTATAATAGCCCTAGCCTAATTAATTAGTAAATTACATGTAATTAAGTAATTAAGCATGTATTAGTGAGTAAAATTAAGTATAGGGCCTAATTAAATGAATTAGGGTCACTCTTGAGGTAAAAAGTGTCGTCAGTGAAAATTATGGGGTAAAAATGAGTGTAGGCAAAAGTACCCAAAATATAAAAGTAAAATTAGAAATATTCCTAGAAAAATATTCTAGACCATTGGATAAAGTTTGAAAGAGAACGGAGTTAAATAGATAGATGGGCTTTTACCCATTTAAGAAAACTTAACCAAGTTAAGTGGAAATAAGCCAAAAGAAGCTGCAGTTTTCTTCTTCTTCCAGCAACGAGCCCGAGAGAGAAAGAGAGGAGGGGAGAAAGTGAGAAACCCTAGGTTCCTTGATTCTCAACCATTTTTAGCGATTCAAAAGTCAAAACCACTTAGAATCTTCCTCTTATCCTTAATCCTAGCTTGGTTTTGAGTGGAGAGCATTGTGGTGAGAGATTTCTCTTCCCAAAATTTCGCCCCCTTTGAAGATTGAAAGGGTTTGGGAGCATTTCACTTCTTGGGAACTTAGGGAGCACTCATTCCATGGTTGTGCAATCATTTGTGGTAAGTTTCCACTCCTTAAACTTTGTTTTCATGGAGTTTGTATGATGGAGGAAGATGATGAATAGTGTCCTTGTGAGTGATATAAGTTTGGGTTTGATTTAAGCTTAAGCCCTTTGTAAAAGTTGTTGTAGATGATAAATAAACGGAAGAACTCCATAGTCAAGCGTGCTTGACTTGGAGCAATTCTGGGATGGATGACCTCCTGGGAAGTTTTCGCACGAAGTGTGCGAGTGAGGAAAAAACACACTGAAAAGTCTCGTGTTAGTATGTGGGGATAGTAATTGATTCTTGAAGCGGCCGAGCGTTACAAGTGGTATCAGAGCAGGCCTCTCTTCCAGTATGGTGTGGTTCGAGGACGAACATGGCGGAAGCTGGTGGGCATGTAACATCCTGAGCGCTGACGATGGCGGAGAGTGATCGTCGATGCAAAGAGGCACGGACAAGGAGCGGCTCCTTACAGGCTTCCAGTGGGGGGTTATATGCATGAATGAATCGAATCGGCACCCGAAAGAGGGGGATTCCAAAGATTGTGCAGGGGTGAGACTACACAGTTTGGGAGAGCTTATAAGAATTAATTGGTACTACCTATACTAACAAGATGCATCTTCTTTTCGGTAGCCCGGAACGGAAGAACTCCAGAGTTAAACGTGCTTGACTTGGAGCAATTCTGAGATGGGTGACCTCTTGGGAAGTTTTCCCAGGAAGTGTGCGAGTGAGGAAAAAGTACATTGAAAAGTCTCGTGTTAGTATGTGGGGATAGTCATTGATTCTTGAAGCGGCCGGACATTACACATTTGATAGAGATTTTTTTTAAAATTCTCGGTAAACTGATATTGGGAATCTTATTTATCCACATTTATAAGCTTTCTGAAAATTTGTCTGAGAATTTAACTTGCCTAGGATTTTGTTTTGTGAACCATTTGTATGCTAAAATGCCATCCAAGAATACTATCAGGGAATGGTATTCTTGGATTTCAACCAAAATACCCTGGTTTTCTGACAAAAAAGCTATGTCCTCTCTCTCTCTCTTCTCTGGTTCGTTCGTTGGTCTCAATATTTGATTCGATCCTCATCCACCCTCTGTAAGTATTCTTTCTTTGCTTCCTTCCATCAAGTTTCAATTTTGATCTTCTTTTTTCGATTTCTAACTTCTCTATTCTCTACCCCTTTATTCATCTCCCCATAAAAATCAACAAAATCATATCAAACCCAAAAATAAATAAAATAAATGGGTTGCACAATGAGGGAAAAGCACATCAAAGATAATCGAAGGTCTCGATCGGCGAAAATGGATTCGGATTCGTGTGACGGGGATACCATATCCATCTTTGTGTAGGTTTCATGGGGGTTGGGGATATAGAAATGAGGGAGACTTGGATTCTGTAACATCCTCGTCTCGAGCCGGTTCAATTAACATACATATGATACAAACAGAAACAACGGAAGACTTAACTTACGAAAATATGAGCTAACTTTTTCTTTTTCTTTAATCCTTTTTCACATGACATATCACATTGCATACTTCTTCTTTTTCACATGACATATCACATTACAACTGGGGATTTGCAAATCCCACTCTCAAGGTACCCTGATAGACGATTTATACAGTATATACTTTCAGACATACCAGATATCCATATAGGATCATATACCCATCCATGGGCGCATGCATAACTTGGCTTCGTGCCACTATGTCTAACAACATGCAATCCAACACATAAACATAAACTGAATACTACGTCATCATATCAACATGCCTGAATACTCAAATGTACATGCATCCAACTGAAAGACATGTACAAAACATATACAGGCCATATACAAAATAAAGGATCAGACATCATGATCACCAAATGAATATAACACTATACAACAATACATGTTCTCCAAAAATAACATCTATAATAAATAGTAGCCTCCAGCTACCCAGAACTCCATATCCTCATACTAGTACCTCTAGCCACGGTAGTGTACTTGTCCCATAAGGGCTCTTCAATTAACTATGTTCCTGAAATCATATCCCCAAACGGGGTTAGAGACGAATCTCTAGTAAGCTCCAGGTTTATAGAGAACTCTCCATACCCTGGGCTCACTTCCTGCATGACAGTCAGATACATAATATACAAAACATCATATATCATACTATACTGAACATATCTCGTATAACATATTATATAATCAAATATCATAACTAAACAAAGCATATACACAAATCTTATCAGAGACGTACGCAGTCATTCCCAAGGGATGACCCCAAGCGGAAATCAACGCACGTAACAAATATCATATACAAAAATCATCATAATAATCACATCAGAACAAAGCATATCATATCAGAGATGTACGTAGTCATTCCCAAGGGATGACCCCAAGCAGAAATCAACGTGTACATGTTCCCAAGGGAGGACCCCAAGCGGAACCAAAAACATATCAGAGATGTACACTATCAGTCCAGAGGGATGACCCCAAGCAGACATCAGTGCATATAGTGTAACATCCCCGTCTCGAGCCGGTTCAATTAACATACATATGATAAAACAGAAAACAGCGGAAGACTTAACTTACGAAGATACGAGTTAACTTTTTCTTTTTCTACTTTAATTCTTACTTGGGGTAAACGAAAATCGGGCAGAGTTTCCTCTATAAATCGGACAACCGGGGATTTTCCAATCCCTCTCAGAAGCATTTCCTGATAAACAGTTTATAGAGCATAGTAATCCAGAAGTACCAGTCATGCAGATACAATCAGATACCCATCCATGGGCGCATGCAAAATATGGCTCCGTGCCCCTATCCTAATCAACATGCAATCCAATACGAAATCATAAACTGAATAATACATCATCATATGACGTGCCTGAATACCCAAATGTACATGCATCCAAGTGACAGATATGTACAAAACATATACAGGCCATATACAAAATAAAGGATCAATATCGTGATCCATCAAATGCGGAAATACTAAAAGACATCAAACACTCCAAAAGGTAGTAGCCTACAGCCACTCAAAATCCGATCTGTCAACTGCCTCAGCCACGTGTCGTGACCCTGCCTAGTGAGGACTCACCGGGAATCTGGGCACCTGAAAATATGTCCCCAAAGAGGGGTGAGATTACAAATCTCAATAAGCTCCAGGTTTATAGAGAATTCTCCATACCCCTGGCTCACTCCTGCATGAAAGTCAGATACGGAGTATACAAATACAACATATAACAGATATCATAACAGAACAGAGCATATATCCATATCATATCAGAGATGTGCGCCGTCATTCCCAAGGGAGGACCCCAAGCGGAAATCAACGCACGTGTTCCCGAGGGAGGACCCCAAAGCGGAACCAGACATATCAGAGGCGTACACCATCAGTCCCGAGGGAGGACCCCAAAGCGGACGTCCGGGTACTATACAATCAATGGCCAGAGATTGTTACAGAAATCATATTACAGAAGTCATATCAGAGCAAAACATATCATGTTATCAAATAACTCTATATGAATGCATCTATACAAAGCATCTAAATCACAGTCATACAGTCCAACCATAGTTCACTAACCATGGTGGAGCACTCAAGCAGGAAAAGACTCCTTAAACATAGAGCTTACCTCTTGAAGCTTTACCAATACGCTTACTTGTGGAACAAGTTACTTTTATCGCTTCAAGAGATTTCCGATCCTTCTCAATCCCTAGGCACACCTAGAGAATAATTTACAATGCATCAATAAAATGATGCAATACCATGATTATTTCATAAGCATACATTTTATCGCTTATTTTCCTTTCTTTATATTTTTGCCAATTCTATGCCAATACACAAGTCTAGACCTCTATACACCCGTTGGCGTTCTTTAATTTAACCAAGCATTTACTTAAGAATTTTTCACATAAATCATGCAATTTTTCTTTAAAAGTCGCGGGCATACCCTTAGGGACTCAAGGTATTTTTCAACCATTTGTCAAAGCATTTCACTTCTTAGCTCATCCATTGGTATATTAAAATGCAACACATTTTATTAGAATAAAATGTAACCAATATATACATATATACCCCTAAACATCCTATAGTTCGAAACATAGAGCAAGTATTTGTAGGATTTTTTTCTAACTTTGGCATTTCCACCAATTCATCCATTTACACTACATTCCAACATATTTTACCTTTTCAAACATACAATAAAAATTTGCATAATGAACCCTATATAACCCATGAAGGCCGAAACCTAGGGGGAAAATACAATAGGGCTTTTCAATTATTTTATCACATGTGGATACTTACTCAACACTATAACTTCCTAAATAACAATAATCCATCATAATTTTCACATTCTATACTACTTTATTTCCTACCCAACCATGCTCATGACTTTCAAAACATTATTCACACTAATAACGCCATAAGGTTAGAGTTTTGTTACCTCCAATGAACTACCCAAAGCCTAGAAGGCCTTCACCAAGCAAAGCTCCACCAAAAATGTCATTTCTCCTCCTTGATGAATAGTAGCTCGAAAATGGGGGAAGGAAAAACTCCTCACACACTCAACTATAGCTCAAATTGATTGGTGGAATGGATTCATTGAGTGGTTTCCAATCAATTTCATGTGGTGGGTCTTTGAATTTGGAGAATGGATGATTAAGAAATCAAAGAAAGGAAATTTGGAACCCTAGCCCCTTCTCCTCCAAGTGCAGCTCGGCCATGCATGAGAGAGAAGAAGAAAATCTGAAATGAATAGTGTTTCATTTAAGTGACAAGGCTATATAGGCACATGTGGCCCCTTTCATCAGATGTTTTTTCTATCGCGTATTTTAACTTAAATTGACCCGGAAATAACTTCAAGCTACGAACATATTTTTATTTTTCTAAAATCATTTACATAAATTTTTATCTGTTACAAAACAATATTCATAATTCACAGTATGGTTTCTGCACCGTTTTTGACGAAATGCACTGTGAATAACTAACTGTACTTTATTTACTTTTGAAACTTAACACTTATAAACTTATCATTTTCTTGGGCCTATATTGACTTGCTTGACATATATTGGACTTTCTTATTCTTATTTCATCAATTATTTATTTCTGGACTCTACCGGTTGCTTAAACAGCAGTACAAAATACCCGGTAGAAACACTATTCACGAGATTTTCACGGAAAGTGCCAGACTACACAATTTTTCGTTCTGAACTCATATTTGTCGTCAGAATTATCAAATTATGTCTCTAAAATTATTTTTCTCTTTTTAAGCTCTACCGGTTAATTCACAAAACTGTAAATTCTCCGGCAGAACGCACTGTTCATAACATAGTCATGATTACAGTCAAAATACTCGGAATCACTCACTAAATCTAATTATGGCATTTAAATCCTTAAATTAAAACTCTAATTAAGATTTACCATTTAGGGTCATTATATATAGGATCAATGGCCAAAGATCATCACATAACAGAGTGTACACAATCAATCCCAAGGGAGGACCCCAAGCGGAACTCAACATATAACAGATATATACACAGTCAGTCCCAAGGGAGGACCCCAAGCGGACATCAGTGCATAAACAAATCAATGTCCAGAAATCATTACAGAAATCATTACAGAAACATATCAAAGTAAACACATCAAAACATATCAAATTAAACATATCAAAACATATCATATCACATCATCATATAGCTTTATATGAATGCATCTATATCATATATCTCATACATATCATGCAACCTGACCACAGTCCGTACACTAAGGTGGAACATAAAGTAGGATCGAACCCCATAAACATAGAGCTTACCTCTTGGAGCTTTACAATTTGCTTACTTGAAAAACAAGCTACTTATCTTGCTCCACGAGAATCCAAACGTTCACAGTCCCTAGGCACACCTAGAGAAGGAATTCAACACAAAACTCAATAAAATGATATAATGCCATGTAAATATACAAGACACACACTTTATTGTTTATTTTCTTTTTACTTAATCATATTAAGTCATGAGTGGGTGGTTCTTTGTTCAACAAATCCCCACAATTTCACATATTCACTTAGTCTTAGGATTGTCCTAAAAGGCCTTTAGAACACTCATTACTCCTCTTAGCACCTAAAAGCTTATTTTTCCCAATGGACTATAATATTTTTCTAGTCATGTTTCTATTTTTACTTTTACTTTTTGGATAACTTTATTTACCCGCATTTTTACCCATTAACTGACATTTTAACTCCTTTTTCACCCAAAGTGACTTTATTTCTTTTACTTTATAATTATCCTTCAATATTAAATCCATAATAAATGTGAGGGTCATTATAGATTCTTTGATGACTGGATTATTCTCTTATGGCGCAAAGAAGAGTTTGCAAAGGGATATTGAATTCCCTAAGAGGTTTAATCTTTCTCCTTTCATGAAGTCCTTATTGAAAAGAAATATTGTCATGTTTGCTGCTGGTTTTCGGGCAAACTCCCAAAAATTGCATACACATGTGAAGGCCTTTCCCAGTCGTAGCACCACTATGTCTAATTTGGATTCTTTGGCTGTATCTGGAACAGAAGTTTCACTTGTTTTCTGGATTGTTATTCAATGATAATGGATTGTAAAAAACATTGGCCGAATGTTAATTGTAAGCTTAATTTTGTAAGATCACTCAGTATTGTCAGTAATATTTGACAATCAACCAAACATAAAATCAGTAATCTTAAGCTAATATTCCCTGTAATATTTTGATTTACCAAACAGTTTTTTAGTAACATTCCAGAAAATGTACTTTCCCACCATATTCTTGCGAATCATGATTCCCGGACATAAATTTTTTTATCATCTACCAAACATTTCCTAATAGGCCAAATCTACGTAAAATATTTAGAATTTACATTAATCTATTAGCCTATTAAAGACTTGGTTTATAGGCCTGACGTATTGTAATACCTTGAATAGAAATTATACAAAAGCATTGCCCGTATAGATATTTAGTAGACAGATTCTTCCCAAAAGCAAAATCAGCCATTCGACGTACTAAAAAGGCAGGAAAGTGAAAGATAAAGATAGAAAATTACGAGTACTCTTTGTTTTGCTCTAACATTACCCATAATTATATACTCGTCTTAAATTTCTTTATTTCTTATACATATCATACGACATAGTCTTGTTTCCATTATACATTCCTTCAGTGGCTCTACCTACCAGCCACTTCTTTCTCCGAGTGGAAATTTGCCCGTGCAGCTAGGCTTTCTCCAAATAATATATATACACAAAAGGGAAGTTAAGCATAGCTAGGAACACCATTATGCAATGATGCTGAGATGCAAACAAAATTAAAGAAACTACTCAAATATGTGGTCAATATGATGGATCCTTCTCAAGTTCAATGGCTTCAACTATAGAGGTGCTTTTACCCTTCAAAAACTGGCTGTACCATTTTGCAGAGAGCTTTGGGTATCTCTTCAACTCTGGATCATCCCGATCAACATAATATAAACCAAAACTCGACTCGTATCCACCCAACAACTCGAACACATCCATGAAAGACCATGCAAAATACCCCTTTACATTTGATCCATCTCTGAGAAAATTTAGGATGACATAGAAAATTAGAGAACACATCAGAAGTGTTTAATTGACACTTCCAAAAAAGAAACCGCTGTAATGGGCTCAAATGGTAACCTCTTTATTCTTTCTATTTCAAGGACTTATTTTTGTGTGTGTTCTGGACATGTTTGTAAATTGCTCTGAATATGCTTAGATGAATTAATGATCCAATGCAATTGGATTCTTAATCCATAATTTTCATTCCAAAATCATAATTAAAAGCTATTCATTAACTGTGGGACTTCTTGTTGAAAGTGATCAAAAAGATTTTTGTGATCTATGTGAATTAGAGCAGCAACTGCATACCTCAATGCATCAAGCACACCACCAATATATGCACTCAAGTATTGCACCCTCGACACATCTTGCAGTGATGAATTGTTTGGGGTCCGTTGACCTAACAAGACAACGCAAGCCAAAATTTGATCAGAAAATCAACCCGTTGGAACTCATCTTGGGCCACTCGAGAAGCCTAGGTATCATCAACAGGACTTCCTAATTTACCATTGAACACATACCAAATCTTGAATAATCACAAACAATATGCCATAAACTAATAACGTTGTTGGCTACATGTATTAATAAAGTGGGAAAACAGAAATGAGCAAGAATGAACACGATTGAAACGTTAAATGTCTGATGCTATCAAGATGCTTTCACCCACAGTTTAGTATTTAACACTTATAACATCAAGAGATGATTTTACTCAAAATTATTCATTTCAATTATATTTAATCTTCTTCAGCTCCTGTTAATCATTTTCGTTATTAACTAGTTTATCATGGAGGGAGAGAGAGAGAGAGAGAGAGAGAGAGAGACCATTTTCAAGAATGAATATAGGAGGATTGCCATAAAGGAGCTTGATTGTACTCAGTTCTTCTTGTAAACCCCATGGTGTGACAAGGTACTGAATCAAGTAAAGCCAGTTGGTCATACAGTGAAGTAATCTAAAGAATTGAACCAATTAATTATGCGAAACATTTTATTTTTTTTACTGTTACCTCTTCATTTGTAAACAGACCCGGTCCATCTGCCAAAACCAGGAAAGCGATAAGTTATTCACCTTGCTTCACCAATTACTCAGGAATGAGTGATGCACATGGTTGAGCTTATTAATGAAAATTATTGGATTTAGATGCCAACAGATGTGAAAGTACACCGAGTTGGAAAATTTCAGAATGATAATGAGAAAGATGAGGGGAATGCAATTACTACAGTAAGCTTATGTGCCAAACTTTAACGTTTTACTATAGTCACTATCCATAAACTTAATGAAGTACTTACAATAATTTATAGCCATGTCTGCATTGTAATCTCTGAGTTTGTTCTTCAGGGCGTCAGAGTTGTCTGTGACATTAACATTGGTGTAGTGAATTACGCCTATAAAGTCACATGAACCCTTAACTTGTTTGGATTCATGATTTGTGAAGGCTGGAATCCTTGCACCTGCATTTGTTTTCATGGAGGTGGGATAGTCTCCATGCACCAAGGGTTCCACAATCCTGCAATAAAGTAGGCACATAAACTGTCATATTCTTCATATGTATCATAGCTATAACCGATTCTAGATAGGAAAGATCCCGAAATATAAAAACTAAATATCTTATTGAAAATGGAATTATATATATAAAGAAAGCAAGTTTAGGCTTATATGGAACTGAAGTGAGAATCGCAAAAGGTTTAGCATAAATGAAAACTTTAGCTATATATATTCACCTTACTTAAGTAAAGAGAACACAAAGGGGAAGAAAGAAGTAAAACCAACCAATTGTAGGGGCTGTAACTTACCAACCAACAAGAAAATCATGGAATCTCTGAGATGCTACCCTGTCTTTTTCTGTATTTGTTACAGGAAAGATCCCAAATGTGAAGACAGATATACCAACAAATCCATGTTGTTTGTCCTGCAATGTCACCCAAGTGTCTATGGAATCATGGACATTCTTTGCCAACAAAGTTTCCCATATGGGAGATGAGAAGATTAAAAAGCAATATAAAAAGATTGAGAACCATATAAAGTTTTTAGGTTTTATGTTGAGTATATAAGTTGAAGCTTTTTCATTTAATCCTATAGAAAGTAGTAATGCAAAAAAAAAAAATTAAATAAACAAAAAATAAGTCAAGAAGTAAAATGCATAATATGAAACGAGAGAGAGAGAGAGAGATTAGGTGATATACCCTATACTTTCTCCTATACAATCTTGCAGCTGAAGAATGCGCTAACAAAACATGATGAACTACCAAGTAAGGCTCAGATGTTGAATTGCCCCTAGTGCTGTTTGTAGCACAAAATGGGGGAGAACATCGATGAGGTGGGGCAGTTCCCTGATCATAACCACCTAAGGCGAACACATTGGGCTCGTTCACACTAGTCCAATACAACACTCTGTCACCAAACTCTCTAAAACACACATCCGCATAGTCTGTGAAGTCTCTTCTGCATTCACATCCAAGTAATTTGTCATTAATATTTCTCTATTCTGTGCACGGTTTACTTTAAGGAGACTGTATCCTAAGCACATGTAAACACGCACATAATCATTCGTTACAATAGCTAGAATTTTGAACAAAACGAAAGTGTTGTAGGCCTAGGATCATATGAAGAAGCAAGATGAGAGTAGTAATAATAATAATGAACACGAGGATTGAACGGATCGTAAAATCTTCTAATCTTCTGAAAGCCTTTTTGTTACTTTGCAACATAAAAAACTAGAATATAGTTCTTAGTAACTCTACAGAATAAAGAACCGATGGCTAGACAAAATATTACTAAGTGCCTTGTTTTAGGGATGTAATTCGTTTTTTATAACACCAAGTGCCTTTATTCATTCATATTTGGATCTAGTGCCTAGATTTAAAGGTGTAGTGCCTTATTTTTTGGATAATAATTCATGCAAATAGAAGTTTCATGAATTAATTTCAACAGTATTGCGGTGCATGAATTCAGGAACATACATGATGTCACGACTGACCCATCCTCCATATTCATCTTCAAGTGCCTGTGGAAAATCAAAGTTGTGTAGCGTGACATGTGGTTGGATTCCTGCTCAGGGGAAATAGCAGACTATATCAGTTTAAGTGTTAGAGAATAATATAACCATTAAAAAGGCTTTCACCCAAAACTTTAAGATTTTGGGTTGAATTGGTTTCGAGGGTTCTTTTTGGATTGAATTTCAAAGCTTGGTTTATTTTACAAATAAAGCAACTGGTAATTAAGTTTAACAACCATTGCTGATGAGTTCATTGATGAGATTGTTGTAGTACTGTAACCCTTTGGGATTGACGGGTCCTCTACCATCTGTGGAGAAAGAAAAGCATTCTCAAAGGAATTCAGAAAGGCTTTATTGGTGAAAGAATTAAAAAACATTAAAATTCAATGCTTCTAGACTCTAGTTATGTGCACAAGTTTAAGAACAGTAAAATACTTGGTATCAGTCTCGACCAAGAAATGGAAAATCTGTAGGCATCAAGGCCTGTTTCCACCATGAGCCGCACATCTTCCTGCATTATATATTTTCAAGGAAAACAATAAAACATTAACAGTTACATAAGTGACTGCAGCTTGAATTGTTTGACCAGCTTATGCCTGAATCTTTTTTTTTTTTTTAAAAAAAAATTCCACAATTAATGGGTAAACCACAAGGAAAGCATTTACGGGCAAAGGAAAAAATTGAGGCCTAGTGTATTCACCTTATATTTGTGGTACTCATCACAGGCTACATCTCCATTTTCTCCATGGATATAACCTGTTTATTAAAAAAATGCTAGCATGAGAATGCGCCATTATGTGAGGGAATGATCATGAAAGAGCAAAAGTGGATAATTAAATTGTGTATGTTAGTCCAGTTTTCAATCATTAATTGATTCTCATTTCAGAAAATTTGTATAGAATACAATTGATAGTCTCCTTTTATGAGCAAGAGAATTTTGTAATATATGACTTGAAAAAGGGTATTCTAATATATTATAGAATTGTAAATAATCTGTACAAAGGGTTCTCTATTTATAGAGAATACTTGACCTAATTTTAACCTAATGGGCTTGGCCCAATACAACAAATAAATGACTAAATAATAACTAAATAATTATTATTTACAACACTCCCCCTCAAGCTGAGGAATAGATATTTATCATTCCCAGCTTGCTAGTAAGTTCTTGAAATCTGTCTGAAGGAAGCCCCTTTGTTAATAGATCAGCTAATTGACGCCCAGTGGGAATGTATGGAGTGGTAATCAACCCGCTATCAAGTTTCTCTTTAATGAAATGGCGGTCAACCTCAATATGTTTAGTCCGATCATGTTGGACTGGATTATGAGCTATACAAATAGCGGACTTATTATCACATAGCAGCTTCATAGGTCCCTCACATTTTATTTTGAGATCATCAAGTACAATTTTCAGCCACAGTAACTCACAAATGCCTTGAGCCATAGCTCGAAATTCAACTTCTGCACTTAATCTGGCAACCACATCTTGTTTCTTACTTCTCCATGTCACCAAGTTACCGCAAAGAAACATGCAATAACCAGTGGTAGAACGACGATCAGTCACAAATCCAGCATAATCAGCATCTGTGTAGACTTCTAAAGATAGATTTCCATCACGTCGGAATAACAATCCTTTACCAGGAGTACCTTTAAGATATTGAAGAATTCTCTCTACTGCCTGCATGTGTTTTTCTTTTGGATCGTGCATAAACTGACTGACAACACTAACAGCATAAGCTAGGTCTGGTCTAGTATGGGCCAGATATATCAATTTCCCAACTAGCCGTTGATATTGTCCTTTATCAACTGGAGGACTCTCTTCTTCATAGCCCATCTTGTTATTCTGCTCAATAGGAGTATTAGAGGGTTTACACCCGAGCTTTCCTGCTTCTTTGAGAAGATCAAGAACATATTTCCTCTGGCTAATAAAAATTCCTTTGCTTGAATGAGCTACTTCTATCCCTAGGAAATATCTCAGTTTCCCAAGGTCTTTGATTTCAAACTCAGAGGCAAGCCGTGTTTGCAGAATCTGTCTCTCCATAAAATCATCACTTGTGATAATAATATCATCAACATATACAAGGAGCACAGTAAGCTTCCCATTTTGGGAGTGCTTGAAGAAAAGAGTGTGATCTCCTTGGCTCTGTCTGTATCCTAAGGTCATCATAACCTTAGTAAATCTCCCAAACCAAGCACGAGGTGACTGCTTCAATCCATACAAGGCCTTTTTTAATCTACAAACTTTATTTTCCCCTTCACAGAATCAAAACCAGGCGGGATTTCCATGTAGACTTCTTCTTCTAACTCACCATTGAGGAAAACATTTTTCACATCAAATTGATTTATATCCCAATTGTAATGGGCAGCAAGGGATAACAAGATTCTCACTGTATTCATCTTTGCAACTGGAGCAAAGGTTTCTTCATAATCAATGCCATAGGTTTGGGTCTAACCTTTGGCCACTAATCGAGCCTTATATCTCTCAAGAGTGCCATCAGAATTATATTTCAGGGCATAAACCCATCTGCACCCTACTGCTTTCTTTCCGTTGGGTCTATCAATAACCTCCCATGTTTTATTTTTCTTCAAAGCATTCATCTCCTCTTGCATGGCTTGAGCCCAATTCCTATCTTTCAAGGCTTCATGTACTGATTTTGGGATTGCAATAGAATCTAGTGCTGAAACAAAGTTTTTGTGCTGCACAGAAAGATTAGCAGAGGAAACAAAGTGGGAGATAGGGTATTGAGTACAAGAGGGACAGGAGGAACAAGTTTTCTTGTGACAAGATCTTTTTCCTTTTCTAAGAGCAATAGGTAAGTCATCAGAAGTAGAAGCAATTGGTAAGTCATTAGAGATATCAGAAGAAATAGACAAATCATGAGAGGAAATAATATTAGAATCAGAAACAGGAGATTCAAGAGACTCAGAAGAAATAGGAGATTCAGGACTTACCAGTGGTTCAGACGATTGAGGTTGCTGGTGAGACAGTATGGGTTGTATCTCAGGTGTATTTGAAGATTCTGACACACCAGGAGCAGACACACTAGGAAGAGAGAAGATTGATCCAGGCTCAAAGAAGGAAGGGGACGAGTCTTCTGAAGAACTATTCTCCCCCTGACGATGAGGACCAAGGAAATAAGATTCAGATTCTTGAAAGGTGACATCCATAGAAACAAAAAATTTCCGACTTGGTGGATGATAACACTTGTACCCTTTTTTATAAGGGTTATAACCAAGGAAGACACACTTAAGAGCCCTAGGATCCAACTTACTCCGATGTTGTTTATGAACACGGACAAAGGCAACACATCCAAACACTCTTGGTGGAAGGCTCTGCAATATGGGAACAGAAGGAAAGAAGGAAGTCATGGAATGAATAAGACTGATATTGTTAGGACCCGTGAAGGTAAACGGTTGATCAAAAAAGTTGCAGTTAATACTGCTTCTCCCCAATAAGAACTAGGAACAGATGTCTGGAAAAGTAGTGCTCTAGCAACTTCAAGAAGGTGACGATTTTTCCTTTCAGCAACCCCGTTTTGTTGAGGGGTATCAACACATGTGAGCTCATGAATCATACCTATGTCTGAAATGAATTGTGACAGGCATTGATTGACGTACTCATTACCATTATCAGATCTGAGTCTTTTAATACCCTTACCAAACTGAGTCTCAACCATGTGATGAAACCGAATAAATATCTCTGGTACTTCAGACTTGTCTTTTATCAAGTATATCCATGTTATCCGAGTACAATCGTCAATAAAAGAAACAAATCACCTTGCACCTGAAACACTGTGCACTTTAGAAGGGCCCCAAACATCAGAATGGATAAGAGAAAAAGGTTCCCTGCTTTTAATAGTGCTAGAAGGAAATGACACTCGATGATGTTTTGCAAATTCACAAACATCACAATGAAAGGTCTCAACCGACTTATTGAGAAACAGAGAGGGGAACATAGACTTCAAAAGACTAAATGGTGGATGCCCCAGACGCTTGTGATGGAGCCAAATCATAGACTCTGCAGTAGAAGGATGATGTGTCATTAATAACTGATTTTTGCTAGCATGGTCTGGAAGGAGATGATACAACCCATCATGTTCATTAGCAACTCCAATTGTCTTCTTCGTGGTAAGATCCTGAATAAGACAATGAGAAGGAAAAAATGTGATAGAACAATTCAAATCAGTTGTAAGTTTTTGAGTGGAGATAAGATTAGTAGAAAGCTGAGGAACATAAAGAACATTTTTAAGAAACAAGGAAGGTTGAATTTGAATGTTACCAGAACCAATAACTGATTTATGGGATCCATCAGCTACGGATATAGTATGACTACCCACAGTAGGATGATAAAAACAAAACAACTCAGTACGACAAGCCATATGATCAGTTGCACCAGAATCCAAAATCCATGAGGTTTTAAAATCAGTGCAAGAAGCAAGAAGAGATATAGAACGTGTGCTCTTACCAGATAAGATCGAAGAACTATCATGCTCGGCCATTCTTTAACAAAAAAAGTTAACAACCAGCGATAAAATCAACCAAACAGAATATCAAATGACCTCTGATCAGAAAAATAATTACAGATCCAGACAGAAGACGAGAAGAATGGTGGTGGTCCGGTCCAAAAACACGGCCGCACGCGCCTCCACTCGCCGGAGAAAGGAGCTGCGCGTGGGATTCACTCGCCGGGAAAGGGGCGGCGCGTGAGAGCGCGTGGAGGGGCTTCGCCAGCTGAGATTTTTCTGGTGTGGTCGTTCGGTGAGCGCGCACCTGTCTGTGGGTGGTCGCGGTTGAAAAGTCGCCGGAAAGTGGTCCAAACGGTGAAGACAGATCTGATTGGAGGCGGTGAGAGGTGTTTCGGTCGTTTGTGGCGGAGGAACAGTGCGTAGAATGATAGATCGGAGGAAAAATAAGGTCAACAATGGTCCCCTTGGTCCAAAAGGTCCCCGGAAAAATTTTCTGGTGGCGGCTGATGGCGGCAAGAGGCAAAGAAATTAGGGTTTTGTTAAAAAAGAAGATAATATGTGCGGAAGCAAAGCCCTCAGATCGAGAGCTCTGATACCAACTTGATCTGTACAAAGGGTTCTCTATTTATAGAGAATACTTGACCTAATTTTAACCTAATGGGCTTGGCCCAATACAACAAATAAATGACTAAATAATAACTAAATAATAACTAAATAATTATTATTTACAACAATATGTTATTAAATATGTACCACCTCATATATGTAGATAAATATAATATCATTTTAACTACATTTTCAATGTTATACTTTAGCTGAGGTAATATATATTTCAATGTGATTTTATAGCACTAATTCAAACTAAATGTTTAAAAGTCGACTTAATATAATTAACCAAATATCTGACAATTTAATTTCAATACTCATTAAAAATACGTTATTATCAGAATTAGTATTATATTATTGAAAAAACTTCTTTAAAGTAAATGTAATTTTAAAGTACGTAAATAAAAATATATTCATTTTCAAATGATTTAGTAAATTAAGATCACGATAAATTTTATATTGAAGACAAATATATTTTAAACTTTATATATATATATGTGTGTGTGTAAGAAATTATTTGGTGTGAAGTGTGAACGGAACAAGAAAAATTTCTTAGTGTATATCACTGGTTTTGGTTCTAGCTAGAGACAATAATGAGCAATGAACTTAGGCTACATTTTGTAGAGGAAATTTTTTTTTTATCCGAAAAATAATTATTATCGGAATATAGTGAAAAATATATTTTATTGGAATATTACTAAAAAGTTATTTGGTAGACCCATATTTTTTCTGAAAAAATTAAGTTAATTTTACTGAATTTATATTTGATTGATTATGAAATATTAGTGAGAATGTAAGGTTATTTTATCAAAATAACCTCACTTTTATCAAAATAAAATATTAATGAGAATGTAAGGTTGTCCACGTTTTCATGTTTTAATTTTTGCTTCCCAGGTGAACATTTTCACCTATTTTATGGAACTCTCATTTATCAGACTTAACAAAAGTTATCACACAAAAATATTTTCCCGGAAACAAATTTGGCCTGCGAAGTTTTGCGATTATAGCTAGCAAACGTTGCATACTTTTTATCCCAACCATGTTTTCCCGTGATTTCAGAAATAAGTCGGATAGCAAATGCGTCGTTAGTGGTGGTGGATAGCATCAACACCTGAGAATCTCTCTACATATAGTACGTTAAAGACCAGTATAAGAAGAAGAAAAGAGAGAGAGAGAGAGAGAGAGAGAGAGAGAGCAAAAGAAGGAACCGGCATGCGCAAAGGTATCCCAGATGCTAGGAGTTCTTCCATCTTTGCTAGCGGCTCCTTCCACCTGTTCATAAATAAAATAATAATAATAATAATGATGATGATGATGCTGATAATGAGAATGATAAATGAGACTGAAGAAAGACAAACCTGATAAGCAGAGGTTCCTGCGCCAAAGACAAAATCAAGTGGGAAGTCATCTCTGCTATAATTATCAGCACTCAGAACTCCGAGAGCGAAGTTCAGAAGTAAGAGAGTGAGCATGAAAGCATGGCTCAAAGATGTTTCCGGTTCCATCATCAATGTTACAGTTTGTGATGCAGAGGGCACCTTATCCATCCCTTTAATAGTCATTATACATGGAGAGACAGAGGAAGTGAACAACCAGTATCCAACTATCCATTTCACAAAACGGGGTTGGGCCACCAATTTGTCTTTCCATTTCTTAGTAGATGTAATTGATGAAGTTACCTTTTTATGTTGCTTTCAGAGCATATTTGCTGCATAAGTATAATTCTAACACTATTTAACATTTGGTATGATATTATATAGGGTTTAACGTTACTGAACGTAAATAAGTTATTTATATTTACTCTTAAAATGATGTCGTTTTGGATTAAAAGATTAAAAAATATAAGTAGAAAGACTATTATAATCCTTAAATAAATTATAAATACAAAAATACCTTGATTTTTGCCGCAAAACAACATCATTTTATGGTCAATGTAGATAAGTTATCTACATTGACTGCAGAAAAAATAAACCCTATTATATATGATAATATATTTTATAAGATATTATTATGTAATATTTGGTAATGCACTGTAAAATACTAGATAGGATAAAAATAAATATTTTTTTATAAAAGTACTCTTTAATAAAAAAAAATATATTTTTCCAAATATATCATGATATTAATTTTTATAAAAAACTATTGATCAGTGTGTCCAAAAATATATTATTTTTTACAAAAATAAAAATCTCCAATAATTTAAAATTACTATATTGAAAATTTATTTTATTTTAATGTATTAAAATTAAAATAATATATCAATTCTTGAGAATTGCACTGATCAGCGATGTTAATACATTAACCCCTTATTAGGCCTAATCCACTCATTTAGGGCATGTTTGGTGTGATGTATAAGGCCTGATAGTATATATAACGCCCCGTCTGCAGTCGATTAATTAACATTCTTATGATAGTAAGCGCAGCATGCTCAACTTAATTAATGCGGAAGCTAACTAAATAAATTTTCTCTTTTTCCTTATGTATTGCAAACCTTTTCACTTCCATGGCCAAAATAAAACGGACAACATTTCTTCTGTATTTTGGACCACTCGGGATAATTCCCACTATGATAATTTCAACCTGATTGACAGTTTAATATAGTTCAGGCATACCACAGCATAGATAAAACATATTGCCCAACCATCATGACATGGGCTATCTCATAATCATGTTGTCTCAAAATAATGTCTATGATGTTACTTAAATAATTACATCAAATAAACAAAAGATATGCAATTAAATAAGTAACATAGACCTGAGCATGCATCACTAACAACATATACAGACTATCAGCTTGGCATAGACATCTCCTATGCTCTCAAAAAAATACATGGCACATACAACCCAAAATAAAGTATGTCAGGTACAAATCTAAATATCTGTAAGGCCCTGACAATCATGTCAAGTAGTATCTCTCATCTGGCCTCTTGCCACGTGATGCCTCAGCACCATCAACTCCTGTACCTAAAATGGTAATCCCCATAACGCGAGGTGAGATAATATAATTACCTCAGTAAGCTAGGGACCCTTGGAGGGCGCCTCCACCCCTAAGATCACTTCTGGTATAAACATAGTATAAAAATCCATCCATGCATCAGAATATATGTATGACAATGCAGTGTGCAATAATATAATCCTATTGGCCAGAGAATATAGTAAGTATGCATTACGCAAGGAAACACCGTCTTGCAACATACCGTATGAGGAAACACTGTCTCATACTATGTATAAGGAAACACTGTCTTATGCCTCACACAAGGAAACACTTTCTTGTGTTGCACACAAACATACAACATATACATGCAACATATAACAGTTCATATCTGTATACCATATAAAAGTACCATCCTCCCTCGGAGTCTGGTGGAACAAACAGGGGATTAACCTCAAAGACTGAAAGCTTACCTGGCAAGCTGTGTCCTTCACTAATTCTCGTGTCCACAGAGTCACGATCTCTCACAAAGCCACAACCTAGTTCCAAGATGTGAAGACAATTAGTAATCCTATATACCAGTCTATCACGTTAAAATTTTCAAGACTACACATACAAGAAACCTACACTTGATTTTTAGTCCAATTTATCAAAGTGTCCTAAACGGCCATTTCATAATTTTTCCTTTTACGGAAACAAATCCCAAACATGTTTAACAAAGGGAATCACCTACAAATCACCCTCCAACTACTCATACCATTTAATCTCAATTTATACAATCTTATATCATGCATTTTCTCCTAAAACACAAGATGGGAGTTAGGGCATTTACCTTGGAAGCTTTAAATCACTAAGAGGAAGACAATCCAAGCCTTCAAGCCAAGAAAAACATCATTTTTCTCCTCTTGTGAACAGTACCCGCGACCTAGAGATGTAGAAATCTCTCAATATAATGACTCTCAACTAAAACTATGCTATGGGTTTTGTAGAGGATGAAATTTGAGACACTTTAGGCTTTGGAATGGATTGATTTCATCATCAAAGGATGAAGATTGAAGGAAAAAAGAAAAAGAAAAGAAAGAAAAAAAGCGTTTCTGTCGTCTCGTTACAGCGCGAGGAGAAGGAGAAATAAGGTGGTTTTTTGTACCTAAGTGACATGTACTTATCATGTGTGTACACACTTATCTACCCCGCTCACTTAACTCTCATTCTAACTTTGCACACTAGTCCAGAATATTTTTATAGTAATATTTATAATTTTACTTTTCACTTTATGGTAACTTTATTTACCCGCATTTCTACCCTTTAACTGTCATTTTAACACTTTTTTCACTAAATGTGACTTTATTTCTTTTTCTTCTACTTTTCTTATAAATATTCTTCAATATCATGATTAAAATCATTAATTCATAATTAAATTCACACTACATGTGAGGGTTATTATAGCATAAGTTTATATTATACGTTACAATATTTTTAGTTGTTTGGTATAACCGTCGTATAGTATAAGCTTATACAGTAGGATCACTTTATACATCAAAATGATGTATAACTTAATCAGGCCTATGAGGATAGGATTAGGCCTGATAAAATGTTGATGTATTAACCAATGCAATTCTCAAGAATTAATATATTATTTTAATATTAGTATATTAAAATAAAAATAATTTTTCAATATATAATTTTTTTAAAATATTGGAGATTTTTATTTTTATAAAAATTAAAATATTTTTTGGACACACTAATCAACATATTTCTATAAAAAATAATATCATCTGATATATTTGGAAGAATTATGTAAATTCATTATTAAAAGGTATTTTTGACAAAAATATTTATTTTTAATCTATATAGTATTATACAGTGTATTACCAAACATTAGATGATATTATCTTATATAATATATTATCTTATACAATATCATATTAAACGCTGGATAGTATTAAAATTTAATCAAATCTTATACAATCATGCCTTATACTATCAGGTCTTATACTATCAGACCTTATCTTATACTATGTACCAAATAGGGTTGGCAAAAATGATCGTAACCCGCCAAAAATGAACCGGGTTGGGTTGGTAAAAATGAGCTGTCAACCCGCCTCGACCAGCTCGTGAAAAAATTAGCCAACCTGCGAGTCAAACGAGCCAGCTCGGGGGTTCAGGTTTTTTTTTAAATACAAAATACAAAATATTATATACAAAAATGGACAAAACCACACATGTTGTCGTCATTTTTCTTTCTTCTCTAAATCTATGTCCCTAATCTTCTCACATCTCTGCCATTTTTATATTGTTAGGCTGTGCTGGTTTTGTTTGGTTCAAATATCTTCCTCACTTGGTAGCAAATGATTCTGATTGTTTCTTGATGTTGATGCAAATTTGTTGTGAAGAAATTTGAAACTAAAATATTTTGCTTTTATTTCTCATTTTGTAACCCTTTGTTTAAGCTAATGGAAGCCACATAGCTGGTATATTAATACTCGATGGTCATTTAAATAGGCTGAAAACGAGTCAACCCGCGAGCAATTTTCTAGCCAACTCGTGAGCTATTTTTTCTGGCCAACCCACGAGCCACATTTTTTAGCCAACCCGTGAGCCAACCCTAACCCGACTCGGGTCAGGTTGGGTTGGATTTTCTGCCTCGTTTTTTTTTTTTCAAGCCAACCCTAACCCGGCTCGTTTTTTTCGAGTTGAATGCAGGTTGAGCTGGGCCGGGCCGGGTTGGCCCGTTTTGCCAACCCTAGTACCAAACATGCCCTTAGGCCTAATTAAGTTATACTTCATTTTGATGTATTAAGGGATCTTGGTGTATAAGTTTATACTATACGATAGTCACACCAAATAACTAAAAATATCATAACGTATAATATAAGTTTATATTATCAAACCTTATACATCACACCAAATATAACCTCAGTATCAGTTTTACCACTACGCCCTCTTATATAAAGCAAAATAAATTTTATAAATATACTATTTTATATATGCCGTTAACTTAATAATAGAGCAAATCATCTTACACTCTTATAGGAATAGGCCATATGTTTTAATTACGAGCCCGTTTAGCAATTTTTTTTTTAGTTGAAAGTTATTTTTTATGCTACGGCTAAAAGAAACAGCTTTACAAATAAAGTTAAAAATTATTTGATAATTATATAAAAAATTTATCTTCAAATTAAAAATAAGCTGATACAATTTAAAAAATAAAATCTCCTATAAATTTTTGACTTTTTTTTTCATTTTAAAAAAATAATTTATTATAAGAGTTTTTTAAATATAACTTTTATCATTGCATATTTTTTTATGTAAATATTACTAAAGTTATATTGTGTCAAAAATTATGTAAAAATGTATTCAATGATAAAAGTTATATTAAAAAAATGTGTCAAAAAAAGGTGTTTACGGCAGTGGGAAGTTAGTAAATGAAATACCGTGACAATTGACAAATATGTGTTTTACTTTTACATGTATATCGTCAGCATTAATTTATATACTCTTATTTTAAATTTCATTTTTCTTATACGTTTGATATGACATAAACGTATCTGTAGACTGTAATATATGTTCAACCAGCTCTCTCCTTTCTCTAAAACTCAGTGGAAATTTTACCAGGCAGATAGGCTTCCCCCAAATAAATTCTTATTTTATATATGTACAAAAGTGGGAAAATAAGCATAGCTAGGAACATCACTATGTAATTATTTAGGGATGAAAACAATATTAGAGAAACTACTCAAATAAGTGGTCAACAGAAACAAGAGATGGATCTATCTCAAGTTCAATAGCTTCAACTATGGATGTGCTTCTACCCCTCAAAAACCGGCTGTACCATTTTGCAGAGAGCTTTGGGTATCTCTTTAACTCTGGATCATCACGATCAACATAGTATAGACCAAAGCTTGATTTGTATCCATCCAGCAACTCGAACAGATCCAGGAAAGACCACGCGACATACCCCTTTATATTTGATCCATTTCTGAGAAAATTTAAGATGATATAGAAAATTAAAGAACACACTCTAAATGTTTTTGTGGGCACTTTCAGAATAAGAAACTGCTATAGTAGGTTAAATGATAACCTTTTTATTCTTTCTATTTTGAAGGACTTATTTCTGTTCTGTTTCATTTTGTGTCTCTGTGTGTTTTGAACATGTTTGACTCATTAGAAAAGTAACTTACTCTCAACATGATTAGATGAATTAATAACCCAATATAACAATAAAGTTCAATGGATTCATAATTCAAAATTGAGTTATAACCAAATGGTGGTAGCTCAGTTGGCGCATGGGAGCTGAGCAGGAGGGGTGAGGGCATGTGTTCGAACCTCCCCAGTATTACCTTTGGGAGGGGTTTAAAACCTTAATCCTGGACTCGGCCCGAATCGGACTAATGTCCGATGGAATATTTCCAAAAAAAAAAAAATTGAGTTATAAATAAAAGTTAGTTCATAATCTGTTGGGCATCATGCAAAAAATGGAGCAGCAACTGCATATATACCTTAAGGCATCAAGCACGCCACCAATGTATCCATGCATGTATTTCACCCTTGACATATCTTGAAGCGACGAATTGCTAGCTGTCCTTTGACCTGACAAGACAATGCAAGCCAAAATTTGTTCAGTAAATAAATTATAAATCCCAGGAAGCTTCAGTTTTAAATTCCATGCAACTGAAAATACAGGATAATCACAATATGCCATAAGCTAATGACATTTTTGGCTACATGTATTAGGAAAACAGATATGAGCAAGAATGAACGTGATTGAAACATTCAATGTCTGATGCTATCAAGTTGCTTTGTCTATTACAACAAAGCTTTCACCCGCAGTTTAATATTTAACTCTTATAACATCAAGAGCTGATTTTCCTCAAAAATATTCGTTCAAAATATATGTAATCTTCTTCAGCTTTTGCTAATCATTTTCGTTATTAATGTTACTTTATCATGGGGAGAGAGAGAGAGAGAGAGAGAGAGAGAGACCATTTTCAAGAATGAATATAGGAGGATTGCCATAATGGAGCTTGAAATTATTCAGTTCTTCCCGTAAACCCCATGGTGTGACAGGATACTGAATCAAGTAAAGCCAGTTAGTCATACAGTAAAGCCAGTTAAATCTAAAGAATTAAACCAATTAATTATGAGAAACATTTTATTTATTTTTACTGTTACCTCTTCATTTGTAAACAGACCCGGTCCATCTGCCAAAACCAGGAAAGCGATAAGTTATTCACCTTGCTTCACCAATTACTCAGGAATGAGTGATGCACATGGTTGAGCTCATTAATGGAAATTATTTAAGTATTAGATGCTAAATGCTGTGAAAGTTCACCTAGTTGGAAATTTCAGAATGATAATGAAAAAGATGCGGAAAATGCAATTACTGAAGTAAGCTTATATGACTAACTTCAATCTTTTACTAAATTTACTATGCTTAAACTTCTCGAAGCACTTACATAAAATTGCAGCCATATCTGTGCTGTAATCTCTTAGTTTGTTCTTCAGGGCGTCAGAATAGTCACTGACATTAGAATTGGTGTAGTGAATGACACCTATAAAGTCACATGAACCCTTAACTTGTTCCGATTCATGACTTGTGAAGGCTGGAATTCTTGCACCTGCAGTTGTCTTCATGGAAATGGGATAGTCTCCATGCATCAAGGGTTCCAAAATCCTGTAATAAAGTAGACACATAAAACTGCTATATTCTTCACCATTAACGTTTCGTGGATATCACCACCAAAACTTGACAGTAAAGGTCTTGAAGTATAAACACTAATATCTTACTGAAAATGGAAGTATAGGCTCAGAGTTCATATCAACCGAAAAATATTAGTATGTCCAATGAACGAAAACAAGTTTTAGTCCATTAAGTAACTGACGTGAGAATTGTTGAGATATTCAAGTGTGATGAGTCCCACATTGGTTGATAATGAGCTAAGTGAAGAGTATATAAGTGAAAGGACCCATGAACCCAATGCCTTAAGGTTTTGGGTTGAAACCTGGTGTCGGATCCACTTGCTACGGTTGGTGTAGCCTTAGCTCATTGGTGGTGGCTCCCGCCACGGACTTCCCCTAGACCTGCTTGACATTGGAGTTTGAGGGAACGAATTTCCCAACAGTGGTATCAGAGCCGGATTGGGCTCGAGCTAGGTGATTGGCTAGGAGACGGGTAGGAGACGGGTCGAGTACTTTGCGCTTCGGGTACTCGGTTGAGGGGGAGCATACCAATGGTGGGTTTCACACTTGAGGGGGAGATTGTTGAGATATTCAAGTGTGATGAGTCCCACATTGGTTGATAATGAGCTAAGTGAAGAGTATATAAGTGAAAGGACCCATGAACCCAATGCCTTAAGGTTTTGGGTTGAGATATGGTGTCGGATCCATTTGCTACGGTTGGTGTAGCCTTAGCTCATTGGTGGTGGCTCCCCGCCACGGGCTTCCCCTGGACCCGCTTGACATTGGAGTTTGAGGGAACGAATTTCCCAACAAGAATAGCAAAGGTTTATCTTTATCATAAATGAAAACTTCAGTTATTTATATTCGCCTCTCTTTAAGTAAAGAGAACAAATACAGAACACGAGGAAGAAAGAAGTATAACCAACTAATTGTAGGGTCTGTAACTTACCAACCAATAACAAAATCACGGACTCTTTGACATGCTGCCCTGTCTTTTTCTGTATTTGTTTGAGGAAAGAACCCAAATGTGTAGACAGAGATACCAACAAATCCATGTTGTTTTTCCTGCAATGCAACATAGGTGTCTATGAAATCTTGAACACTCTTTGCAAACAAAGTATCCCATATGAGAAAGAAGATTAAAAACCGATATAAAATGATTGAGAACCAGATAAGGTTTTTTAAGTATAAGTTCAAGCTTTCGCCATTTAAACATAGAGAAAGTAGTAATGCAAAAATAAACAGGAGAGAAATACATAATACGGAAAAGAAAAAGAAAAAAGATTAGGTGATATACCCTGTACTTTCTTCTGTACAATCTCACAGCTGAAGAATGCGATAACAAAATATGATGAACTGCCAAGTAGGGTTCAGTTGTTGAGTTGCCCCTAGTGCTTTTTGTAACACAAAATGGTGGAGAACATCTTTGAGGTGGGGAATTTCCTTGATCATAACCGCCTATGGCGAACACATTGGGCTCGTTCACAGTAGTCCAATACAATACTCTGTCACCAAACTCTCTGAAACACACTTCTGCATAGTCTGTGAAATCTCTTCTGCATTCACATCCAAGTGATTTGTTCATTAACATTTTTCGATTTACCCCCTCATTTATTAGTAGCTAAAATTTTGAACCACACGAAAGTGTGGTAGGCCTAGGATCATATGAAGAAGCAAGATGAGAATAATAATAAAGAACAAGAGGATTGAAAGGATCTTCTAATCTTCTGAAAGCCTTTTGGTTATCTGCAACCTATAAAACTAGAATTTAGTTCTTAGTAACTCTCCAGAATGCATGTTGTACCTGAAAAATATTAACCAAGGAACCAATAGCTAGACTAAATTTCACAAAAGTTCTTTATTTTAGGGATGTAATTCGTTTTTTTCTAACAACAAGTGCCTTTATTCATTCTTACTTGGATCTAGTGCCTAGATTTAAGGGTGTAATACCTTAATTTTGGATAATAATTCATAAAAATAGAAGTTTCATGAATTAATTTCAACAGTATTATGGTGCAAAAAATTAGGAACATACATGATGTTACGACTGACCCATCCTCCATATTCATCTTCAAGTGCCTGTGGAAGATCAAAGTTGTGTAGCGTGACATGTGGTTGGATTCCTGCTCAAGGGAAATAGCTGTCTTTATCAGTTGACAAAGCAGAACTGGTTTAAAGGTGTTCTTTTGGATTGAATTTCAATGGTTTATTTTGCAAATAAAGCAACTTGTAATTAAGTTTAACAACCATTGCTGATGAGTTCATTGATGAGATTGTTGTAGTACTGTAACCCTTTGGGATTGACGGGTCCTCTACCATCTGTGGAGAAAGAAAAGCATTCTCAAAGGAATTCAGAAAGGCTTTATTGGTGAAAGAATTAAAAAACATTAAAATTCAATGCTTCGAGTTATGTGCACGAGTTTAAGAACGGTAAAATACTTGGTATAAGTCTCGACCAAGAAATGGAAAATCTATAGGCATCAAGGCCTGTTTCCACCATGAGCCGCACATCTTCCTGCATTATATATTTTCAAGGAAAACAATTAAACTCGTTATAGTACTTCTCAACAGTGCCACACTGACACTTGAACATTAACAATTACAACAGTGACTGCAGCTTGTATTGTTTGACCATCTTATGCCTAAATCGTTTGCAACTTTCTACAAATAGGTGAATCACAAGGAATGCGTTATAATGTATTCACCTTATATTTGTGGTACTCATCACAGGCTACATCTCCATTTTCTCCATGCACATAACCTGTTTATTAAAAAAATGCTAGCATGAGAATCCGCCATCTTGTGAGGGAATGATCATGAAAAAGCAAAAGTGGATAATTAAACTCTGCATGTTAGTCCCAGTTTTAAATCATTAATTGACTCTCATTTTCAGAAAATTTGTATAGAATATAATTGCTAGAAATTATTTTTGGCTCGAGTTAGCTGGTGAAAACTAGTGAATCGATGACTTAACTGGTTCAAGTTAGCCAACGGACTGGTCATGCAATTGACCATATGAAAACCAGTTTGACTCGGTTGGTTTTTGTCAAAACTAGTGATCCTGTCGATTTTTGTTAACTCGATTTGGTTATGCATATTTTTTTTAAAAAAAATAAAGTGAAACAACATTAATTTTAAAGCAACGACCAAATACAAAATCTCTAAATTACAATGGATTATTTTCGAATCACAAATACATATATCAATCACAGAAAAAATAAAACACAATTAAATATTTAAGTTAAGAAAAATGAAATTTAAATGAACCCTATATAAGTTGGATTGAAATTTGAAAGTATAAAAGACACATGGACAGCTAATTTAAAATTTGAAAAATGATATTAATTTTATTTTTTACTAATAATCTTATAGATAATTCTTCTTTTTTTTATGTAATTAAGGAGGGCTAAAGCCCAAAAAAAATAAATTACAAAGATACAAGAGTTCTATAGTTATGAAAAACAAAAAAACCTCCATCTAATAAACTAATCATATTAGGAAGAGGCTAATTGAAAATGATAATATCCTTTTCCATATCAAGACCTTGTCTAGTAAATCTATCCTTACATTTGTTGCCGGATGTAATTTTGGATAAATTTGGATTAACATAAATATGTATTTTGCAAGACAACATAAAAGAAAATATAAATTTCTACACATTTATTTAGGTCATGCGGTTCAACTAGGGTTGGCAAAACGGGCCAATCCGACTCAACCCGCATGCAACTCGAAAAAAACTAGTCGGGTTAGGGTTGGCTCGAAAAAAAAATGAGCCAGAAAATTGAACCCACTCGACCCGGGCCGGGTTAGAGTTGGTTCATACGCGGGTTGACTCAAAAATATGACTCGTGGGTTGGCTCGAAAAAATGGCTCGCGGGTTGGCTCAAAAATTGGCTTGTGAGTTGGTTCAAAAATGGCTCGCGGGTTGACTCATTTTTAGCCTATTTTAAGGAACCTGTAGTATTAATGCATCAGCTATGCGACTTCCATCAGCTTAAACAATACAATTGTCTTATAGAATAGTTTATAAAAAGAGCAAAATAGAAAGTTACAGAATGAGAAGTAAAAGCAAAATGTTCTAGTTTCAAATTTTCTTCGTAACAAATTTGCACCAACGTCGAGAAACAATCAGAACCACTTGCTACCAAGTGGGTAAGATATTTGAACCAAACAGAGCTAACACAACCGGAAATGGATCCTCTAATGTGCCAAAAAAAATATGATATGGTCATGTGGGAAGATCACAACCATACAAAGGTAAATCAACGGTTATGATTTCGTAACTACATATTTTATCATTTTTTCTCTCTCATCCTTTTTAACCATTGATCCACCTTTGTATAGTTATGATTCCCCACATTACATGGTCATGTGAATTTTCACATTATAGGATCCAGATCCTAGCACAACCTACCAATATAAAAATGACAGTGATGTGAGAAGATTAGAGGCTTAAGTATATAGAAGGAAGAAAGACGATGACAGCTGTGTAGGTTTTTGTCTATTTTTGTATATTATATTTTGTATTTTTTTATAATAAAAAAAAATTCAATCCGCAAGTTAGTCCGTTTGACCCACAAGTTGGCTCGCTCTTTTCTGAATTAGCTCGGATCGGGTTGGCAACTTATTTTTGTCAAATGAATCTGACTCATTTTTTACGAATTACAAATCAACCGGATGGCTAATTTTTGCCAACCTTATATTCAACGAATGAGTCACTTATCCAATATTCCAACTAAATCGATGATTGGTTCGGGTCTACTGACATTGGTGTAGATAATAATGACGTAAGTAGTTATAGATAGCATCAACACCTAAGAATCTCCCTGCCTATGCTATGTTAAAGACCCATTTCTTTCGTGAAATTTAGTAAGCTTCCAAAATTATCAAAATCGATAAATGACAAGAAGAAAAAAGAGAAAAAGAAGGAACCAGCATGGGCAAAGGTATCCCAGATGCTAGGAGTTCTTCCATCTTCGTTAGCGGCTCCTTCCACCTGTTCATTAATAATAATATATAATAAAAATAATATAACAATTATAAATTCATCTTTGCACCAAATTTGCTAATCCGCTAAAGTAAAATAATAGCTTTAGGATAAAAGAGAATGATTCATTTATAATGGAAGAAAGAAAGAAAGACCAACCTGATAAGCAGAGGTGCCTGAACCAAAAACAAAATCACTTGGAAAATCATCTCTGCTATACTTATCAGCACTCAGAACTCCCACAACAAAGTTCACAAGTAAGAGAATCAAAATGAGAGCAATGCTCGAATATGTTTCTGGTTCCATCGATCATCGATCAATGACGATCCTATGTGTGAGGTATTACCTCAACTATCCCCGCTTTTTATTATTCAAGCAAAGGCGGGGGAAGTCAACATCCATCCAGTATCCAGTGTGTTCCAAAAAGGCGTGACCCATGTTCGGGTAAATGCTGTTGTTGAATTTTTATGGCGCCAATAACGTTCACGGCTCTTCCACTTACGAGTATTTTAACAAAAACAAGTTAAAATAAAACATTTTATATACAACGTTAACTTTATAATAAATAAGCGACAATATGGATTGGACTTTGGCTTCACTCATTGAAACTATAGTGCACTGCACAGCGGCAGTTGGGTCAAGAGGGCAAACATCAATGAGAAGGAATACTACGGTAGTACTACTACTACATTTCATTATTGTACTCGCCGTCACGGATGCTCCTACGTACTCCTAGCTATCTAAATTCCAAATGTGATACAGAAAATGAAGATGCTACTCGTTTGAGACCACAAAAGTCCATTATCGGCGTCGTTTTCGAGAATTTAAAATTTGTATTCCATTGAAATATTCTAGTTACGAAACAAGGTTATATTTACGACTTATATTTAAGTCCGTCAATTAATGAGATATAATTGTAAGAGGTTGTAAATGATATATGAATTGTAAATATAACTTTCCTCCTTAGTTAATGTATAATACAGTTTTTTTTTTTTTTGGAAATTAATCCTAATTACCTCTTTGAGGCGAATCATAACCCCTCAGTATCCTCACAGGTTCGTCTCTTTGAGCCGTCTATGGGACTAATCCAGAGTTCGGGTGCGAGTTCAACGATTACGGTACTTATGCCCCTCCCCAGATGGTGGGATTCGAACCGAGATCCTCTCCCACCACTCAGTCCCCATGGTACCATCTGAGCCACCACACTTGGGTGTATAATACAGTTTTTAGTTAAGAGTATCTTTGACTTGAATTAAAAATTTTAAGCAACTATCAAAGGGTTGGTTCAAGTAGTACATTATTGATTCCACTTAATCAAGGTCAAATTCCCGAATTGTCTCCTGTACATGTGGAGTATACTTATATATGGTTTATTTTAAAAAAAAAATTAAGCAACTCTCAATAAAATTTTAATTTTAATTTATTTTTAATATAAAATAAGTCAATCAGATTATACATTAATATGATTACGATAATTATGGGTACTTTGATAATTATATTGATCAATTTAATTTTGCATGGGGTAAAGAACACTTCACAAAATGTACTAAAAAAAAGAACAATTCACAATTATATATAAGACTTACCTCTATTATATGACTCAATAATTATTTATTATATTGATACATCCTCAAATAAATCTATATTTGATTCATGGATAACAGAGAAGTCCAACTAAGATTCATTTACAAACACATAATAAATTTACAAGCATTTTAAGGCTAAAATAGAGGGATTACAAATATAATAATGGGTTCGTTTTTCTGTAATTACTGTAGATAAGTTATCTGCAGTAAACCCAATACAACGTTATTTTTGGACAGAAATCATGGTATTTTTGTAATTTTAATTTATTTCAGAGTTGTTATAGTCTTTATAATTATAATTTTCTAATCTTTCAATCCTAGAATGACGTCATTTTGGAAGTAAATGCAGATAACTTATCTGCATTAACTGCAGAAATATTTTTCTGTATAATTTAATATGAGTTGAAGAAATAAAATATAATAAAATTTATTTTATCCCATTTTAATAAATATTCTTTTTTTCAATTTAAAAATAAAAATAGAACCTATTTATTATTATTTCGTTTACTTTTCAAATAATAAAATAGAAAATTTCTTCCATTTTAATGTAAAATATTCAAATAATTATACAACAACATTATTTCATTGCATGTCATTTATTTTGTTGTATCCTACTCAAATTTCATTCCATAGTTAAATTCCAAACAAAACGTCGCGAAGCTTTTGATATTGGATGCAATGTGGCTCATCCTTACGTATTGGCTCATGTGTAAACAAGTCCAAGCCAAACCATACAAGGAAGCTTTTGACATTGGATGTCTCCTTTTGTCGTTGGATGTCCCCACCCAGTGAGGTTCATCCTTAGATATTTTTCATGACTTGTCGCCTGACAACTCCAAGCCAAACCATACAAAGAAGTTTTTGTCATTCGATGCGTCATCGTGAGATATAGTGCGGTGGGGAATAGATTCTCTCTGTTAAAATTTCATTTGACCTGAAATTTGTATCTATTTTTTCTTATAATTGGATTCCACCTACTGAGAGATAAACACAAATATTTCATAATAACTAAGGGATTTACTAGTGTCTCGGTCCATCATGTCACAGAGACATCAATTATAAGATCAATTATTTTTTTAATAAAATAAAAACTGAAACAACAACTTCACACTAATCGAAGGGTCAGCTGGAAGGAAGCTAAAAATCCTATAACATGATACTTGATAATTCCAATAACTAATCATGTGAACTTTCAACGTAATTAGAAAATCCACGCATCTATGTATATTTTTAAAGATTATTTCAAAAAAAGTAATATAAAATCAGACGATTACTTATAAATTTAAATTATTAGGTTAAATTTGTTGCATTATTTGCTCTACGATTTCAATAGACTCTAGTATGAAAAAGTATGTTAAAAAAGTCTAATATAAAACTATTAAATTGGTCTAGTAAAGATTGAGTTTATAAATAAAATAATTATTTAATATATTGATAACTTACAATAAATAATATTATTGATATTTTAATGAAATGAATCAGCATTTTGACTATTTGCCTTATTTGAAGAAAATATAGTTTCATTGACTGTGTTAAATTTTTATTATATCTAGTTTTATGATATCTAACATTTAGTTTTTTTATCTATGACTTAGTATGAAGAAATTTTTAAACAATTTCAACCATATTTTGATCATGATTTAAATTCGTTGTGCTATTTAAGTACTTATAGTAATTAGATATCAATTGTGATATCTAGGGGTGAAAGTGAGTTGGGTTGCGCCAAACTTTGCTCCGAAAAGTCCAAGTCTACGCCAAAAAATTTCAATTTTGTCTGGTCCAAGCCTAGTACGAGTCTAACTGTTAGCCTGATTTCGCCCGTTTATAAAAAAAAAATAGTCTGGCCTAGCCCTTTAATTTTTAACTTCCAAGCAGAACCATGATTCAACTTTATAAAATACTCAAATCAACTTTATAAAATACTCAAATTATGTTGCTAAATCAAAAATCATAATTTTAACATCCAAACAGAATCATGAATCACAACAAAACTCATACAATCTGCATTTAAGTCATTTTCAAAAGCAAAATGCTCAAACTAAATAACATATATTTCATCATATCCAACAAAAAAATCCATAAGATGTAAATTAAAATAACTACATGAATCCAACAAACACATCAAGATGCTTGTACTAAGTATAACCTCTCCCAAAAACTTTTTAATATATTCATATACACAATCTAACATGTTGAGATGTTGGTTCCTCCTATATAAGAAATAAAGTCAGAATTCTATTAAAATATAATCAAATATAATTAAGTTATAAATAATTGCAATTGATTAAATTTATATCTGTTGTTTTTTCTTCAAGACATACTTACTCTATTTTATTTTATTTAAAATAAATAATACAATATAAGCCGCCTTGTAGGCTTATAGGCTAGTCCTTGTGAAAGTGGGCCTACAGCCTTTTTATTAAACAAATTTTTTCAAGGTCCAAACTCGGCCTAGTTTACGAAATATACTAGGTCAGGTCTGACCTAACGTAGGCCGAGCCGTAGGCCCCTGTAAGCGGTCCGGCCCAGTTTCACTCCTAGTGATATCTATACAAGAATACGATTGATGATTGACAAATTACCATTAACTAGTATAAAAAAGGGGGGAAATTATTTTTCCTGCAACAAGAAATAAAGTTACCTCCTACAATTCCAAAACAACGTTGTTTTAGGGTTTAGGAAAAAAAGTGCAGGGTTTTTTTAGAATTTTATTTTCCTTTGTATCATAAATTTTACTAAAACACTCTATATTTTTTCCTTAAAATCCCAAAATGATGTCGCTTTATTTATCTCCTGTTGCAAGAGAAATATTAATCTAAAAAATATATAAATTTTGATTTTTTTCTTAATTAATAAAAAAAATTGTGTTTATATAATTTATTGGTTTGGTACTATATTATTCATGCACTTAAAATTGTTTTTAAAACTTTTAAGTCACAACAGTTGTATATGAAATATCTTCTTGTTATACCCATTTGAGTGTTACACACATGCATCCCTAAGGGGGTGTTTGGTTCAGGTGAAATTATTTTTTACTATTGAAATGTAATTACTAGGGATCTGTAGGGAAAATGAGTTAGATAGGAAAGTTTTAAAAAAGTTGTTTGGTTGGATAAAATTTTACCAAGAAAATTAAGTGAAATTCCTGAATGTGTATTTGGTTGAATATAAAATATTGATGGAAAAACTTATTGAAATTACAAAATTATCCTTTTAAAAATAACCCTTTATACAACCAATTGTCCCACTGCATTAAGGGGTAGTATTGTCACTATTTTGTACCGTGTTGACTTATCCGATTTTTAGATGCAATTCCACATGATTTGTTGGATTCTTGAACAGTTCTTTTCTTCCTTTTTGACGTGCAATTATTGATTGCTATGCACCTGATATTCATGGGCAAAAATCATGATATCGTGAACCAAACGTGGAGAAATGATAAAGTCAGAATCACTTCCCTGGGAATATCCACAAAACTCCTGAAACAAACACTACCTAAAGTAAAACAAGTGCATTTAAGCGTGTCGGGCTCTTCATGCACCAGCTAAGTATGCATGTCCTAGCAATGCTCACGATGACAGAAACATTAATTATGACTCTTTGGAAATTTTCTCCAACTATTTAAATACCTCTCATTTACTATTGCTTGTTGAAGGGACACCTCTTATTCATCATTTCTTCTTGTTGTTACTT